GGTGGCTCCCGCCTGCAGGGCACCTAAGCAGCGCCACCGGCTGCCCAAACAACTGCCCTCGCCACGGTGAGGGGGGTTATTTTGGGAAACACGCCCGCTCACTCAAAGACACAAGCAATTTTTGGATGCTGTTCTTATCTTGAAATTGGACTGCAGACAACTGGAGCTTGGTCCTCGTTCAAAGCTCTCAAAGGTTTTCTTCAACTGTTACGTCCACCCAATGAGATCGGCAAGATAGTGCGCGTACTTAGGGATTAAGCCCACGTATGAATACTTGGTCCTTGTTCACATCTCTCAAAGGTTTTCTTCAACTCTTATGTCCACCCGATGAGATCGGCAAGATAGCGCGCATACTTAGGGATTAAGCCCACGTATGAATACTCTGCCTAATCTGGCCTTAGTAAGGATCACTGCCAAAGCTGCCACAAGCAAAATTGAGGTGCTTGGTGAGCAGCTGACAACTGGAGAAGTGGGAGAAATTACTCTTGCCCATAGGTTTGGTATACTGGCGAGCATAAAATGAACTAATGAATACATATTTGATTTTTTTCTTTCATTAGATCATCTTGTACTTGAGAACCTGCCAGTAGCCTTTTAAATCAACTGCCTTAGTAGTGCTGTCTTATGTTTCAAAAGCTCCTGAATACTTGCAAAAGAGCAGTGTTTCTGTGCACACAGGAACTTGCTTGATGGCCTTCAGCAGTTCAGTTAGGGATGTTGGCCGGACCCCAGGGGTTTGGCACACCAAACCCTCAGGTACGGCACAAATGAGCAGGCAACACAATAACTAGTTGTTATAATTCAATAATAAGCCAGCCGAACTACTTTTGAGTACTTACCCAACCCCAAATGGCTATTCTGTTCTTATCAACAAAGCCCATTTCAGAAAATTTTCTAAAAGCAAACAGAGTAGTTAAATGCTTAATGGATTGCAGATATCTGCTCCTGTTTTCCATCACATAGGCCTTTTTCTATTGTATAAATAAGCATGTGCAAGTCATCAGTGACTGCTTATAACAAAATGCAGTGCTTCATACACATCTTTAAAACAATTCAGAAAAATACACGTGAATGTGAAAAACAAACAAACAAAAACACTTAAGAAGTTCTGCCAAGAATCTCTATTCATATACTTGACATTTGTATCATCTGTGGGAAATCAGTTAGATTCCCCTCGCTCCACACCCTCAAGTAGATAGCAATTAAATTTTGACAGTAAGGGACAGACTAGCAGCTGAACATCCAGTCAGGGTTTAACAAATAGATTCTGAAACACCACTAGGACATTACTTCTGGGTAGTTTAGCACAGATAAATAACTGTTAAATCAGGACCCTGCAAAACAAGGAGTAATACTTTCATTCACAAATTGTTTGGTGGCATCTCTTTATGCCAATGTGCTGAAGCTATCAGTTTTATAGACCTAAGGCTACAGTAAATTTGTTTTTAAACCACTAATTCCCTCTTTTTAAGCATAATTATTGGTACATAAATGACACTCTTCAACATATAATGTAGAATTTAGCTATATTTTTGCCAGTAATTTCACAGTAACCATTCAAAACCTCCACCTCTGTTGACCATTTCACAGCACGTCACCTGGCTGCTGATATCTGATCTTCCACTTCATACGTTCCTAATCTTCGGTTTATTGCGTGCATGATTTTATCCCCCTGGTAGCCACTTCCTCTGCCATCAAAGCTTGCCACAATGATCTGCTCCGTGCTCACAAGGTAAGTAGCCCAGTCAATCCGGAAGGCATAATTCACTTTTTGACTACAGGGTCCTGCATACCTGAGTGAAAATGCATACTTGGGTGAAAATGCCTGTGTTGATCAGCATCTTCAAAAAAGTAGGCCAGATTTTAGGTAGGAAAGTTACTGCTTTCTGCTGTAATAAGAAGCTATTACATTTTTATATGGCATCATCATTATGGCTGCTTGACCAGCTTATAAAGTAAAATAAGCCTCAAAGCCAAATCTCCTCTACAAGTCTGTACCCTCCAGGGGTAGGGCAAGTACTGATGAGATCCACCATGCCAGCACAGTCCCTCATCTCACATATATTGACGATGAAAGTACATTACTGACTTGCAATCTCATTGCAATTTCAATTTCTAGTGAATTCTAAATCTGGAAAAAGAGGTATGATAATGCTTACATCTGTATTTTTACAGCAAATACACTCTATACCCGCTTTACTGCCACAAGCAAATACACCCTTATTAAGCATTACCTCATCTTCGGGTACAGGAATCTATGACTCACTGGAATACACCTTTTTTTTATTTTATTTTTTTTAAATTCTCTCTTAAAATTACTTTAAGAAGTAATTAGAAAACATGCCGGCTTTGTATTTCCTGATGTTATTAGGAGCATTTGAAGTAGATGAAAGTGATTATTAACACAACATTGCCATGTAACTTGGAAGACTTACACATCAAGAAGCAGAGGGTACTTCTTTGATGAATCAAAATGGGGAGGCACAATCATTTGATACCAGAGGTCTAAAAGGGAAAAGAGCTTGACTTAGTTCCAGTGAAATAACTCAATATGTATTGCAATTCACATAAAACATATTTAAATTATGCCTAATAACTAAAAATAATTTCATCTGAAAGACAGATACTAATAAATATTCCTACTTCATCTAACTCTTAAAAAATATTTTATAGCAAAGTTAAAGTCTGAAACTAGGAAAAAACAAAATAATAATAATGAAATTTGATGACTCAACATGTTGTCTTGTAGCATTCTGCAACATAAGCTTGGAAAACTTGGTTAGTCTTTACAGAGATCTGTATTAGCTTAGAAAAATTTATCTAGGCAATTTTTTTTTCCATTTCTAAAACTAAGTTCCACATATCACACACACACAGGTAGACTGTGCATAAGTATTTGTAAAGTCTCCCAGAAACACATCCAAATATTTGTTATTTCTCAGATAACAGTGTTTCCTGTTCCACCCATATTACTCGGTCTACCAAAACTGGCTGGCAGCCACCCAAGCACTAAGTGCAGACCACAGGTGAGTTCTGCCACCCAACCGTCCTGATTGTTCACTCCAAAATTTTCAAAGAACGGATGCTGCAAAGGAAGCATAAAACAATGCTGACAGCCTGTGCTGAAGTAATGGCTAAAGTTTTACAGAAATCTGTTCGGCCATGAATACGAACCATATTAAACATGTGCTCCTCAGCACTGAACAACTATGATTCTAAACCTGAACACATGAGTATTTTTCTTTCCCTGCCCCACTCCATCAACATCTGTGTACCATATAATTATAGGTATGGATTTCTGCTTTGACAAGCACATACATGAATTTTCAAGACTTGTAGCTTGAAGCAGGACTACATAAATGGATTTACTTCTGTTTGTGACATGAAAAATAGATTCCCCTTACCCAAAAGCTTTTAACCAGAAGAGATGAAGTAGTAAGAACAAAGAGGAATAAAAAGATGAGTACACAACTGATAGCATGAAGAGCATCTTTAAACCTCCAACTCGCATGGAAGATTTCATCTTTAGCCCTAGTAAAAATGTGACTAAAATAAAAGACAGAAAACACAAGGGTAAAGATAGTCATTATATAAGATAAACAGTGTAAGGAGAGAGGCATCAAACAGAACAGATAACAGCAGCAGAAGGAATACAATGCAGTTTGCAGGTAAATAAAATTTCATTAAGAATATTCTTTCATTTTATCAAGATCAAGTTTGTCTTTAAGAGAAAGGCTAATAGCAAAAACGATAGTAAGAACAGTTCAGACAGTTATTGGGCCTATTACTCCTGACCTGCATCTACCTGAGGTTCCTCAAGCTAGGAACACTTCAAAAAAGCTTCCGTACCTTGATGCACAAAATCAGCTGAACAGGGTTAGCAAAGCATTAAGCAAGCAGTTGATTTACTAATATTTTGCTCTAATTTGCCACTCAGATGTACTCAGTTGTTAAGCATGAACATACTTTTAAGAATGTGACTATTCAACAGTATATATTTTCATATAGAAAATCGTAAGTGGTCCTGTGGAAAGGAAGCCTAAATGATTTTACCAACAAATTTTAGATCATAATTGTTTCTTTCTTCCGCTATCAATGTCTAGCCAAAAATGTAATTGTCCTTGTAAGTTAAGATTGATTTGATGAGCTTTGTGCCCCCCCTACTTTTCCCCTTTCCCTCTTCTGTTTTACAAGTAATTAACAAAGAAGCTAAAGAACACATGATCATCATGAAAAACACCAAGATAACACTACGGAAAAACAGAAGACCTCAAAGCACTCAGGAAAATGACAATAGAAGGGTAAACCATGCCTTTAAACTTACCATATTCACCTATATTAATGGTGCCATACATTTTTGAAGGCATTTGAATATCTTTCAATGAGTTGTCCAATTCAGTGTTATTTTCCAAATATCTGATGACTGAAAGAGAGAGTTGATAAAAGTCTAGGATTAATTTGGAATACATTAATCTTTTACAATAGGAACCAGTTTAAAAATTCACCTTGAGGTAACTTATGCTGCACTCTGTTTTTCCTTATCCTTTCAATGTTTATGGTTATAGCTTTCCTTAATAATTTTTAAAGTTAGTTTCCGCAATTTCCAACTAAATGCAATTTCACAAAAGCTGAAGAATTATCCAGCAAAAGAGACATACATTACTCACTGTTTTCTAACACAAAGTAAAATAATGTTAAATAAAACATGAATAAGTGTACACTGAGCTACATTGCTTATCTGTCTGGTTACCCAAAATAGAATATGTGAAATTAAAGTTAGCCTTTAAAACTGACATGTTTTAACTACTGTACTAAGCAGTGAGAACAAAATTAAATTAAATCTACAGTGCAAGTTCTGGCTTGATACAAATGATATTTTTAGACAATCCCATACCATTATCATCGCTGCTTCTGTGCAAAGTAGACATGGGCAGTCCAGGGCCTGTTAAAGAACAAAACATTCATGTTTGCATGCTCTCTCACAGCAAGACCCTTGAAGAGTAATGGGAAGCGGGTGACTTAAAAAGGTTCAGAACCGATTTCCACCTGGTCTGCACATACGGAGTTTAAGTCAGTAAGGCTTGAGCTGACCAGACAACATACAATATTCAAACTTCCTTGCAGACAAACTATTTGACTATGAGGTGCTGAAGAATTAAACTTCTGCTCTTTAACAAGGTCTACCAATCCACTGTGGGCCATGGTTTGCAAATTGCCTTCTTAGAGCAGTCACCAAGACTACAGCAGTCCTCTTCTACAGATCACTTTTACAATCTGATGGAATGATTCCTTCTCTAGCATCTGCCTGAGTTTCTATCCCACAGATCATGTAAGACCATAGCATCTTCAAAACACTATTTATTTCAGGTTTAAGAGAAATACCAGAGAATGCTACATTTTCACCTCCTCCAATTAGTTTAGCCTTTGCTCTATCTAGCACAAATGCTCAGAGGTCAAAAACTCATAATGCAATCCTAATGCTTCACGTACCATTACATTCATTAGGTTCTTCGAATGATGCTACCAGTTATAATTTAATACTCATGCACGAAAAGATTCCCTTTATCCAGCTTACTGCTTGCCTTACTCCCAGGAGATCCTCTAAATCCTTCTACAGATGACACAGCTTCCCATGTACAGCATATTCCCTCAAATAGTATGTTTACGTGTAACGCTATATATATATATAAAAGGGAACAGCATAGGAGAAAAACAAGTCTTCCTACATCACTTTACCAATGATTTCCAACCTGCTACATTTGGAACAGAAACTTCTTTCCATTATCCCTCTCTGAAGTAAGTAGATCATACCCACTTGGTCTCAGCACAATTGCAACAACGGCAGCACAGCTTGATGGACGTAATGGCACTGTTCAACCTGCTCTGAAGTAGCAGCAGGCTACAGCCTTTTTTAGCACATCCTAAATGGCATTTGATTACAAGAGCAGCTCTTGAGGAGGTTCAGATCTGCAAGAGGGGTACGCTTTGTTACCCCTCTGAGGTCCATTCAGAGAGGGCTATCATTTTTATTTCTTGTAATTTTTGTCAAGGTGATTTTGAGTTTGTGTAGGTGTATGTTTTTCTGCTGTTGATTCATATATCCAAAGATACCAACACATATCATTGCTATGCAGTGCATATCAGGATCCTGATGAAGAGAATTTCACCCAACTAAGCAGAAAGTCACGTTTATATCAAATTAATTCAAGACATACTCACCGTAACAATTCAGTTGATAATATTGTGCATCTTTGCTGAAGGACACAGAATAATACTGGCATCTTTCTTTATCCAGATCACAGCTCACACATTTAGGTGAACTTGGACTGTTTTCCAAAAGCACTCTGCAAAGTGGACGAGTTTCATTTCAGAGATGAAAGCTGGTTTTTTTGTTTTGTTTTTGTTTTTTTTTTCTCTCTCTCTTTTAAACTATGCTGAACAAATGTATGCTTTTTAAAAAAAAGATAAGATGGCCAAATGAAATAAGATAAAATTCAAGAGTGAAATTGATTTAAATAGCCAAGAAAATAGACTTCAAAATTTTGAATTAAATTAATGTGGGAATACTTCACTATTTTCACAGCTCACACTCCTAAAATGATTACATATCCTATATAGGACTCCATGCTTGACTTAGAACATCTTTTCCATGCTTGACTTAGAACATCTTTTCCAATCTCACTTTCCAATACTTTCTATTTCGGTAACAAATATTTTACTCATATGGCATAATAAACATCTTACTTATAAAGGTTTCTTCCTCCTGGCTTTCCACCATTTTCATTGCTGATGTAATATCTATAAAAACAAAACTTATGGTTTATGTGAAGATATTTACAGTACATTACACTATTTAAAGGATTATCTTACATGTTTAGGTGATATTTTTAATAATAAATGACACCCTTGCCCCCTACTGCTTCTCTGTTTGCTTAGGCTCTTGTCACAAGTCCTCCTAGGAGGAACAAATAACTTAATCACAATACTTACAAAAAATTACTGGTTACAGCTGCTATGCTGGTTACTTCCCATTTTCCTTGAGTAATAGGTATTGGAGCCTGGAGGGGAGGGGGGGAAAAAAAAAAAAAAAAAGACAAGGTAAAAAGTAGAAGGTAAAAGTCCATGCTGACTAGGAGAAATACAAGTCAGCACTGACTGTCCTGCAACTTGTTACTTACCTGTGAGCCGTTTATATAATGGATGTGCTTGTAAGCTTCTGCATTGCTGAAGACTTTGTAGTAGCTGGCATTGTCAGGTGCAAAGTAAGGGTCAGATGGCTGAAACTTGAACACAAGAGACCTGTCTTTTAAAGCAAACAAAAAAATCCTCCAAACCAGAATGATTAATTTGGATTTTAATAGTAGAACAGAAATTTCAATACTTCAACCAAGGTATCATTACACATATTGCAAAGTTTTGTCTGGTGATATAGCAGTTAGAACCTATAGCCACTACAAGAGAAGTGAGCATATTTTTGCTTATGAGTAGGTGATTTCAAAATGCTAGGGAATCCGAACTGGAATGTTCTCATGAAGAAACTATCTCACGAAGAATCTATCCATCTATCAATTGGGACTGATGGAAATGAACATATTCCTCCTACTGACTGTCTTTTACATGTGTTCCTGTGGCATAGAGAAAAACAGAAGAATGAAATTGATCCAAATGAAAGAGAAGTTATTTCTGCGAAATATGCCCAAAACATCTAAACATCCATTCCAGTTCACACAATGCAATGTCTCTGCTATGATACCCACTTCTGAAATGAAAAAAATAAAAAAAATAAAAAATAATAATAATTAAAAAAACCTAAGAAGCAGAACCATGCTTGCCTCCAGAATGCAATGACAAACTTGAGTCCCTCTAGTCCTCACGCTCCTGATAACCACTGCTACTTCATGGTAATATATATATATTTTTCTCCAATAAAACAACATGGCAAATATTTTGCTAGCCTCTCCCCCATCACAATCTTGCTTCTTTTCTAAGTGTGATTTTCCTTTGACCCAGCTGCAGTGCTCTAATGTAGCTCATGATCAGCTTATGCAGTGACACAGAGGATGCAAAGTCCTGGATAGTCTAAATTCACAGCTACTTCCCCTCTTTTTGGGGCTGAGGACTGTACATCTTCACACACATACACACATTTACATCTATACCTCATATGAATATATATGCAATTGCTTATATGCACATACACAAGCATCCCTGCTCATTCAAGTCTCATTTTTATCTCTAAGCAGCCAAGAGCAACAGAAATAAATAATGATACTACTCCCTCCCCTTCAATCTTCACTTTTCCAACCAATTTTCAGACCCAAGGCTTATACACTGATTGCCTTTATCTCCCAACAGCTCCTAAGATGTGGGTTGTCTCTTTAAAAGAAAGAAAAAACCCAACAACCTAGTTTAATGGCACAGGCTCACATTTTGCCCTCTCATTTTGCACAACTGTTTACAAAGTCTGCAGCTTGATCATCACATTGTCTAATTGTGAAGCCTTTGCTGCAGAGAAGCAAAATGTGTCAGCGTTAAGGCCTTCCTTTCCATATCAAATTTGACAGCAGGTGGGTTGATCTCTCATCTTCATACTGCGGATGATTTCATCCCTGCTGTTGCCTCCCTCTTTGCATTTCTTTAAACTTTCATTTTTGACTTCAAAAGTGAATTAGTGACTAAAGCATAATCAGCGCGTGGAAAATGCGGGAGTGGAAAGTGTACTGTGTGTTCTCATCAAAAACTCTAGAACTCACTTCTCCCTCCAAGCCTGAACTTTTGAATCTCTGCCTCACTTCCCCCAGATCTTCTGTGTAGTTCATTAGGTGCCTACTCCCTACCATGCACAACGGGACTGAAAAGCACTTCGGAAAAGATCATGCAGGGAACAGTGACTGGGTCAGAAGAAGTGTATAAACATTTCCACCTAGCCAGTTACATGCCGCTTGTCTCCAGTTCGCGCCAATGGATATTTTGGAATGGGGAGAAAAAAAAACAAACAAACAAAACTACAAAAAAACAGAAGAATCTTTTTTTGCAACTTGAACCGCTAAAAAAGGCTTTTCAGCTCTGCACAACTCCTTCAATTTAATTCAAAAGTTCTAGAATACACTTCTTAATACATTTCATTCCCTGATCAGTCTGATGGTGGCAGAAACGTTGGAGAGCAGCCAAATCAGCAGAGCTGACAACTCCAATCCAAAGAACCTTCTGAACGCTGCTCCCCTGCCTTTCCCCGCCACTACCACGGCCATGGAGTTACGAAGGGGCCTGGCAGGAGCTCGGTGCTTTGGGCTGATGTGCAGGTCAGGGAGGGCACCCAGCTCCAGCCTATGCCCCACCGCAGCCGAACCCGGAGCGTTCAGAGCCATAGAACTCAAAAAGTGCATGCTAGGAGCGCAGATGTGCAGCCCGTTGAGACCAAAAACATATCTGCACACAAGATCATTATGGCAGGAAAGAAGTTCATATGAAAGTGCCTCAAATACCACTGTGTTATTTAACTGAACACTCACGGTGCCAATCCAGCCAGTTTTGCTTTCTTCCGTACGTTGTTTCTCCTGAGAAATAAAAAACAAACAATCCCACAATAATTATGCTTATTTTATATCAGTTTGTGTTTCTGCAAAGAGAAACACAGGGAGGTACTAGAGTAGTACCTTCCCAGTTTCATTGTTTCGCCTCATTTTTCTTACCATTGGACATGTCCAACTTGCAGTGGCTCTTGCAAAGTCACAGACTGCGAGAACTGAAAAATTCTGAATTCTTCTGAGCCACTGCAGACAGATCCTTTCATCTGTCACCCATGTTACAACACTTAAATAGTGATCCCTGAAAATAGCAAAAACTGTTAAGATATTTAAAATTCTCTCTATATTAATGTACTATGCAATTCAGTGATTTACTAAATGAGACTCATTCATTTTTTTTGCTTTTTCACAGAGAAATATTGAGGAAAACCTAATTATGCTTTTCTGCTTGTCCGTTTTTTTGCTGCTTGGTAATTTTCATTCATAGAGTAAAGATTTAGATTGTTTGTGCATATCTACATCCAGAAAAGCTGCAATTAAATACTAACTGCTAGACATCTCTCCTCTGACATACGAAACAACAGGTATTCAAGACTGTGCCATGAACCTTCTACTGGCTGCATCTTAATGTTAAGATGAGTGGATCTTGTATTTTGGAATTTGATCCACTTCTATGAAATTGGTAGCTTCTAAGCATTTTTTTTTTCTGAGGGATATACAGCTTGGTTCAGTTTAGTACTTCTATTAGTCAGAATGCAGGGAGAAAGCCTACCAAAAACAACATTACTATTTTAATTTTTACCTTTCTCTTCAGAATGCTAACTAATTGACAAGATGAATAAAAATATCTTAAAAAAACCCTGTAAAATATGATTTTCATGAATATTCCTGTATATGATCTTTTTTTTTTTTAAAAAGGAATCACATAAAAATTTAGTGGTTTTGTTTACCATTACGATCTGTTAGATGTACTCATCTTATTTTAGATGTCTCCTATCTCTTAGAAGCCTTATGAACTAAAATAAAACAAAGCTCCCCTCTAAAGCAAATCTACATTTTTAACCGGAATTTGCACAATTGACTTAGTTCCAAGTTCATGTTCCCTTTTTTCCCCAACGTTAGTTAACAAAAACACATGCGAAGTTTTGGTAAGTGAATATCTTCTTGTTCATAAAATGGGGTGAGGGCAGGGGGGCAGAAACAGAAAAAAAACACTACAATTAGTGTGGATTGATTAAAAATACATGCCAACTGGTTACCAACCACTTTCAGGTTTATTTCTAGACTGCAGTTCAGAAAATATGTTCCATAAAGGTCTATTTTTGCACTCATGTTTAACTGGAGAGTTGGTAGGACATTTAATATTGCTGTCGCCACTGGTTTCAAACTGTGTAACTTAGACCTATTGAACTAAAAAAAAAAAAAAACAAAAAACAAAAAAAAAAACAAACAAAAAAACCCCAAACAACAACCACCACCACTCTGAAGGGACTTGTTCGTAAAAGCAAAACAAAAAACCCACTGTTCTTCACGTGCCTCTAATAGTAGTATCATTTGCTTTGTAAAAGGGGAAATAGCCCTGCAGTTTCCCACAAAGTGAAAGAAGTTAGTAGTAGAAAGTATAAGCATCAGACAGAATGGATAGTTCAAAAATAAAGGATCATTTATAGCATAATATATATTTTAAAGTTATTGCAGAAGATAGAATGTCCCTTCAGCTTTTTATTTTTAGTGGTTTTTCAGTTTAAGAGTTGCAATTAACTCAAAATATATATTAGAGCAGTTCTTCATTGCCCTTCCTTATTTTCTGCTGAGGAAGATATTCCTACAAATATTTTGCACGCTCTGTACTCTGAAGACTTATTATTTTTAGGACAGATCATTTCAGACAAGAAGCATACATTGCCTTCAAGTTTAATCTATCATTTTAACTGGGAAAATAGTGCTGCTGCAGATTTTAGCACCTTTCATATACAAAACAGCAAAACCTTTCCTCTGACAAAAGATGTATTTTTTCATAGTTATTAATTGCTAAGGACTATCTTTCTGCTTGGCTCTCAAGAAGAGGCAGTGTAGGAAGAGCTTCCTTGCATGATTTTAACATCATGGCTGAACCCTCCTGCTGCAGAGGATGCAGCTGCTCTGCCACAGCCTTCGCCCTGTGTCTGCTCTTGTGCCCTGGACAGCCGAACCGGCCGTCCAAAGACCCAGAGCCAGACCCATGTGCTCCCCTGCAAGTGCCGTGCCAGGGCCGCTCTGGGTCCGGACAGCTCCACGTGCAAGAGGCAGCTACTGGCAGGTACAGTGTCTCCTGGAGGTCCCACTGAGACGGGTGACATCAATGCCTCCAGGCTATCCTTACTTGAGTCTGACTCAGAATTTCTTTCCAAGGAAGCAAAAACGGACTTTTCCACCAAGAAAGTTAGTATTTCCTATCATACAGCAGTGGGTGATGCAAATATTCAATATTTTGAACTTCTGTGAGCAAAACTATACAGCAACAGCATTGCATTTTCTTATTCTTGAGATCTTTCTCTTCTGCAAGAAGTCTGGACACAGGCAGGACAAGGGAAGCGTCACCTGCACCCTCCTAGAACACCACTATTTAACTATAGCAGTCAGGAAAGGGTGAAAAGGAGGTTTAAGGCTTCATTTTCATCATTCAAGACTTAATATATTTTTGCATTAATACTGATTCATATAGTATTACATTCATTTAAAAATGGATTAAGTTGATATACATCCAGCCTGTGTTATGCAGATATTAGGAAGTATATGAAAGTTATTCTCCCCAGGTTACAAAGAAACATTGTTCTGCTTCATTTGTTCTTAGCAAAAGATAGAATATAACTCAAAGATGACAGATATCCCAGCTAGAATCCTTATGTAAAATGCTTATAATTCAGATGTACTGAAATTCTGGAGGAAAACAAATAAACAAAACAAAAAAAGTATTCAGCAGCTACACTACATCAAGTTATTACAGTGTTATTGTAGAGCTAAAATAAAGAATAACATGTAAAAACTTGTGGATCCGGGTTAGTAAAGAAATATTACTCATACTGTGCTGAGCGTTGCAATAGGATACTGCATCTCCTCCAAATGCCGCTTTTTGGACAGCCATTACAAAAAGTTGTTTTATTCAGCAACTAACAAACTCAGCTTTTTCTGAATATCATCAGTATAACCTGTTTATCCATACCCTGCATCTTTTCGTAAGGAGAAAACATCTAAAAATTTCACAGAATCACTGAGGCTGGAAGGGACCTTTAGAGACCATCTAGTCCACCCTACCCCACCACCTGCACAATTTTCCACAATTCTGTTAAAAACAAACAACAAATCCTCCACGGCCACCACCAAAAACACAGCTCTAGCATACCACATTCCACGGCATGCATTTTAAATACATTTAAATGCTCTTTACAAAATACCCATACATTTATATCATATTATACATTTTCATGGAATTTGCAAAATACAGTTTTCCATTTACTTGGAGAGGAGCTGCTTTCCACCATGCTTCTAAAACAAGATTTTAAATAAATCAGAAAATAACCATGATAGCTTGTCTTAACAGGCTATACAGACTGCTTTCTACATCAAAACTAAACTGCAAGGACCCTACTTTCAGTGAAATCAAATCTTCACTTATCATTAAGGGTTCTCTTTTGTCTTTTTTTTCCCCCAAAAAAAGTGAACCAGAATACATACATTATAATTTGATTATACCAAAACTTGCTCATATTAAAGTTGTGCTGTGAAATGACTTCACCATAGTTAGACTCCACTGAATGTGATGAGCCAAGAACTTGTCACTTTCTGAATATAACATACATGGAATATGCCATCTATATATAATCACTAGGAGGATAATCTCTGTGCAGATTTTCTCTGGTAAATCTTGTTGCTACCAGAGCCACAAGACTGGGTAAAACAATATACACTGAATATCGGGAGGTCACATGCAAAAGCTCCTCCTCTCACAACAGAAACGGGGAAGCATTAAACAAAACTTACTTACTCTGATTTTATTTCTGTTGGTGGAGATATTTCGGTAGAATTAAAAGCAGGAAGTGACTGGATATCCACAATAAAGAATTGCACGGTTGGATTTTTAGCTCCTGCCTAAAAATAAAATGTTTCATTATCCTTTTGAAGAGAGAACATTCTTGGGTTTAAAAAAAAATGCTTGAAATTACAGACAAAGAAATTACTACAGACAAGTGGAACCAGCTAACTCAAACTGTGTGAAAAGACAAAAAAAAAAAAAAAAAGACAAAAGACAAAAAAAGACAAAAAAGATCTCAATGTGATTCTTAAAGCCTATACATGAATTATCCTTCTTTTTTTTATGGAAGTGTTAGCTATTTATTCCCAGATAAGAAAGACTCCATTTAGAAACATTCATGACTATCTCATCTCACATGCCACACAGAATATCTAAAAGTGACTCAAATCCTATGCAATCCTTTTTTTTTTTTTTTAATAATGGAAACCGATATCTTACATTAACTGCCTATACTGCAATCAATGCTGTGTACCTGTGGTTTTTAACCACACACGTAGCCCTGCTAGGTGCTTACTGAAACGCAGTTGTGTCAGCAAAGGTTTCTTTAGAAATAAGAGGTAACCAACTAGGTCCTAGGCATTACAGCAGGCATCCGTAGCTGACTCATCTCCAGCCGTCAGCAATACTCCAAACAGACGGGGACTGGTAATAGAAAGTGCTGTTGAAGTGTGCAGTTCATCCGACACCTATTGCACCAGCATCCTGACACGGGTGCCACGCACGGGGCAGCGCTGGGGGAGGCTCTCGGTAGCCAGACAAGACGACGTGTTCAAGATAGGAAGCCAGGGACCACCAGGGTGGCAAGGAACGCTCAAGTATCTCAGTGCAGAGAGGACAGGAGGGTGGCCTTTGCTCTGGACAAGCAGCAACGCCAGAGGAGGGGAACAGTAGCTGTCCTGAGGCTAAATAAGAGCACAAACATCTTCCCGAGCTGGCCAGACCTGCTTGGGGGCATGTACAAAACTCAGCACTACACAGAGTATTAAAAACGAACAATGAACCAAAAGAACCGGGAAGAAGCTCAAGATGAGGAGCATCCTGGAGCCTGTTTCAATGCTGGCCCTTAGGAATGCCAAGTATCGTGACAGGGAGCATGTCAGAGAGACCACTGGTGGTCTGAAACTGCTACTTCAAAATCCTGTGTGATCGCAAATAACTTCAAATAAATCTGGTATTAAAAAATAAATCCCCTGTCAGGGGAAAAATCTAGAAGAACCTGGTCAGAGCTAATTGGGCTCCAACACTCACCATTTGGTCCTGCGTCAATTTTGCCATGCGCAGTGGGCACAAAAGTCAGATGAAGGGGTGAGGAGGAGATGATGCACTAAAGGCTTCAATCTCACTGCCAAAACTGAAACCACTTTAGGTGTGGGCAATGAAACTCTGTCAGCAGATTCTTCCCCTTCATCCCAACACAGGCGCCCAACAACTAAAAATAACTAAATTACTTGCAGAAGGTTCTATTATTAGTACCATACACAACCCCAATGCAAAGTACATCTGCCAAATGCTTTGCACCAGGAGCGAACTTCAGTCCTCTAAAAGCTTTTCTTATCTCCATATCTACTTGCCACCTCTCAAAATTTTCTGGTGAAACAACAAAGCTGTAAATCATACTTTTTCACATTCCCCTGGAGATAATAAAAAATACTTTCATATTGCCAGATGCTGTTGACTTCAGAAAGAGTAATCACAGCAAGCTGTTGAGGAGAGACAGACAATATTTTCATTAGCAGAAACTGATTAAATGAGACTCTTCTCTTAATGAAACTGCAGAACAACTATGTTTAATAAATAACACAGACCTTGGGATATGGGATTCTGATGGTCTTTGGATACTGCAAAGTATCTTCAGAATAAAAGGAATACTCAATAAGAGGAACTTCAGTATCATTAAATGATGCATATGCCAGAAAATCGCCACTTGGAGACCACCACAGAGCAGAATGAGTGCCAAACATTTCCTCTGAAAAAGATGCAAATGTGTTTAAGTCATAATTGATAAATTGCCTTATAGCTGAAGCACTGTTCTCATTAGTTCTTAATAGATTTTTTTTTAATTCAAGTTCAGATGAAAGCGGATACTGCTTGCTGGGGTTCTGAAATGAGACGTTAAATCAATACTTACAGCCTAGGAAGCCAAATCACACATTATGATTTCTAGTGACCCACCTTAAATTAGACTAACTCATTTCCATTCTTAGATGCTCAGACTACCCAAGTATAAAACTAGGGTAAAATATATGGTTCTGTTATAATACAGATTTATTTTGAACTTTTCAAATGATAAGAATGAATTAAAACAGTTATAGTAGGATAGTTATAATTAAAACAAGTTTTACATCATCATGCAAAATAAAATATGCTCACCTTCATAAACCCAATCTGGTATTCCATTGAAAATTTTATTTGCTTCTCCATTTGTAGTGATTTGCACAGCTTCTGCTGTCGGTGAAGCTTTTACATAGACATCGTTATTCCAAACATATGCCTGCAAGACACCACGGTGACTACAACTGCTGACAGAGTAAGCCCCACTTCCTTCCTTCCTTCCTCACACCTGGGAATATCTACCTCTACCTCAGCCAATAAAAACTAACATTTTCATTTTGCCAGACATCAGTGAGGCTTAACAAACATGTCTTACTAAAACAAGTCAAGTATGCTAACCTAGCTTCAAACTGAGGTGCAAAGAATAATCGGCTGTTACAAATGACATGATTACTGTATTGCATTTTAAGAACTTTGTTATTAATTCTCTTTTGATATAGGATCATTTCCTTCATTATCTCTATTAGTAATTCTAATGTTTTCTTAAAACACCGATGACTGTCTCTGCTATCCCAAAACGATGCAAAGATGGAATATTTCTTTAGCAGCACTCAAAACTGCTCTTATTTATTTTTGACACTTGCCTGCCTCTCTACCCTACTCCATTTTTTTCTCTCAACAGTTGATCAACATATTTCTGAGAGGCAGGAAGTTCACTTCAACATCCTTTGCTACTGTGGTTGGGCTCTTTAATCCCTATACCACAAGGGGAAAGAATAAATAATCACTACATACTTCCATGACAGAGAGACCTCTCGGGCAGATCCAGCACCCTTAACAGGAAATACGAGCCTTGCAAAGCTGCCACTGTTCTTTCAGTTGAAGAACAAAAGAAAATACACAAACACACAGGGGGAAGTTAAAGTATTTCCAGCAGCAGTAACCATTCAACTTGGAAACTCATTCAGCTACTTTTTCTAGCAGGGGGAAATTCCTGAAAGTCCATTTCACAGGTATAGGAATGACTGCATATAAAATTTTTACTTATCTCTACTGACCAGTTTGTGACCCACAGGAGACCAGGATATATATTGCGTATCATTAGGTAGCAGGTGTCCAGCTAAGATGGAGCTGGAAAAAAAACAGAAACAAAATAACAAATCAGTGAGATGCCATTTCACTGCAAGATGCTGTTAAAACTAGATGTTCCATTTGTAAAAATTACTGACCTTGTATTGAAATCATAGATGTAATATGAAGCTGTATATGAATGCCTCCACAACTGTAAAATAATTAACGTTAAGCAAATATAATTTCACCAGCATTTGCACGTCTCTTACAGTTCAAATTCCCACTGAAGCCCTCCTCATGAACCCAGAATGGTAACAAGTCTGCAAGGTTTAAGAGAACTAGAGAATCATCACGGCCATGTCTGTCATTTCAATACTGTGATGGAGACCGCTGACTGCCTAGGCACAGAAAGACACAGAGGACAGGGACACTACAGTTTTTCCTAAATCCTTGCCTTTGGACCTTGTAGACGAATGGCAGACTAATGCATCTATTTGTGGATAATCCCCCTTATTCATTTTCCATACTGCACTATTTCGGTTTAGC